CTTTGAACGAGAAGGTGGTGACTTCCTTGCAAGAATCGTTACTGGGGACGAAACCTGGGTTCACTTCCACCAACCAGAAACGGAGAGAGCGAGCAAGGAATGGCACCATTCCTCATCTCCAAAACTGAAGAAGTTTCTAACACAACCATCAGCAGGGAAGGTTATGCTGACTCTCTTTTGGGATGAAAAAGGCGTCATCTTGGAGCACTACACACTTAGAGGGACCACTGTCACCAGTGCATCATACTCTGATCTCCTAAAAAAATCATCTTCGGCCTGCAATCAAATCAAAGTGACGTGGATTGCTGTCCACAGGTATCCTTTTGCAACATGACAATGCAAGGCCCCATACTGCCCGTACAACAGTTGCGACAATCAATGACCTGCATTTTGAGTGTCCTCCTCATCTGGCATACTCACCAGACCCTTGCCCCAAGTGATTTCCATATGTTTGGACCACTCAAAGAAGCAATGGGAGGAAAGACGTTCCGTTCTGATGAAGAGGTATGCCACGTGGTGCATGAGTGGTTGCGCAGACTACCAAAAGAACTTTTTTCTAAAGGAATTCATGCACTTTGTAAGCGCTGGACGACTTGCATTGAGTGTGGGGGAGATTATGTTGAAAAGTGATACAGCTTTGTACCACTTCTGCACAATAAATACTACTCAAAAAAATATTTAAGGTTTTCATTTGACTCGCCTACGTATATATAACAAGCCCTTCAACATGTGATGGAAACCAGAATCGCTATACCATTAATCTCATTGAATGCACAAGGTTGTCTACTCAAGGTGTGACATACCCTCAGATGTGTTTTAAGACAAAGTTTACATTCTATCAGCATTTTGTGTAGAATAATGCCATGTGTGTATGAATCGACAGTACGTGTAAATTTATGAAAGCTCATTTCCATAAACTTTAGGGTACAATGTCTCTTCAGAGACATTGTTGAGAAATTTGTGAGGTTCAAATATCTGAGAGTGGAACTTACCTGTAATGTCAACCTGGGCCCAAGTTCTACAAGTCGCAGGGCAGACTGGGTCGATGCGAGGTTACCTCGAGAAGGCAGTTTCTGTGGCAGGGTGACATGGCTTTCTGGGTCATCCTCTGCTTCACTTTCTGACAGCTGACCAGACCTAAAGAGGCAAAGGGCCACTCAAATAAGCTCAATCACCCCCCAAAATAACAAGTGACTGGTGCAGCAACGCTCGCAGTATCATCCCTCAAAAGGAAACAGAACAGACAAATGTCCAGCCTTCCAAATGTTACATAACAATGACTCATACAAAAAATTAATATTTTGTTAAAAGAGATATTTCACAGGAAAGTTGTGGGATGATGATGGACTATGGGGTGGACAGTCAGGGTTTGATTCCTAGCATGTGTGAGAGATTTTTTATACCACACTATCCAGAATGTCTCCGGGACCCCCTACCGTTTTACCTGTATCACAGGAAAGTTAGTGTGGAGTTGAGAAATCCTTTGGGTCCAAAAATTGTGATCCTATAAATTTTGCATCAGAGAAAGAGTGAAGAACAGTGTTTGAAGAGTTATGTGTTCCTGGAAATAATGCTGTGTAGTCCACTGAAAATCAACCGATATTTCAGAGGAAATGTGGCCTCCCGAGCTCTGAGGCCCACCCAGCCTCCTATCCAATGAGTACTGGGAACTCTTTCCCCAGGGGTGAAGCAGACCACTCACCTCCATCCAGTGCTGAGGTCAGGAATGGTGAAGCTATACCTACACTCCTTCATATGTCTTCATGGCATTTTACTTCAACTAATTAAGCACAGGGACAATTTTGCCTTACCTCACATGTGGCCTCCATTTCAGGGCCAAAGAATAAGCCAAGCAACAAACTAGTGTGAAGCAGGTAGCATGCAGAGCAAGTGGGTAGCATTCCTGCTTTATGCTTGGGAGATCACATGTTCAAATCTTAACCTGGAGACTGGCTACCCTTACTGAGGTTTTTCATATTTTCCTCAAACTCTCCAGAAAATTCTGGGATACTTCCCAATTCATTGTTCACTAATCATCCTCACCATTCAATGCCATATAACCTGAGCCTCTGACAGCATTCTTAAATAAATAAAGAACATGCTTAACTTGGCCCCTTCCCATGTAACCAAACTTCACGCTGTGTTTCACAGATCACTTTTGCCTACAATAGCCATATGTCTTGAATATATGCCCATGTCATTCTTCCCTTCCCATGAATTTCCCTTAAAATAATACTGGCAGATAAAAGAAACTCTGCCATTACCTGTTTCAGTGAATCTGCAACTTACTGTATCTAGGTAGAATATTACCTTCTGACATGTGACACCACATGGTCTTGTTAATGTTATGAACATTCTGATGAACCTGCTACCTCCATCTTCAGGGGGAAAAGAATAAGGTAACGTAAAGGTATCCCTGTAACAGGCCGTGGAGGCCCTTGTGGTTGTTAGACATCGAGGCTCCCACATTTTATAGATGATCTACTCATAGATGGCGATACGATAGTCAGCCTTATGCACTGGCTACCCTTTACCCCAGGAAAATTCCTGGTACTCATTTCTCTTAAAGGCTGAGTTGACCCCAGGGACATGGTGCGACTGGAAGGATTAGGTCAACTGAAAAGTCCAATGACCAATGACGTCATCGGGAATCAAACCAGTGACCTTCCAGCTTGTGTGCTGCACCAAAAAAGACTAAGTAGGATATGGAAAAAAGTAGCGCCGCTATAGTGATGGGGAAGGGCACTGAGTAAGGAAAGCTCTACCAGATTATACAGCATCACATAGTGGCAGGAAGGACAAATTCAAGGGCACTGAGTAAGTAAGACAGTAATTTTCATTAATCAGATTCTGGTCTTCCCTCTATAATGGTAATGTTGATAATAACCTACCATACATAAGCTGTTATAACACAGATGACAAATAGTTATAATAATGTCAAATATGGACGTAGGAACAGATCGGAAAATCAAGACATGGCTGATTCTCTGACAGAGTCAAACAGCAGAGTTCTCAAGGGGGAAGGTACTGACTGCACACTGTACATATTTCTGTGGACTTCTGTTTCAGTGGCTTACTTTGTGATGAAGTCAGAAATGTCTTCAAAGCGCCCCAAATTTGGGACTTTACTCTGGACCAGCTTCTTTACACCCTTGGAAAGACCTACAGGTACTGCTTTGATGGCATAATGCCGGAAATCAATCAGCTTGGAACTGGCATTATAGTTCAGGAGTACACAGCGCCGGATGCTGCTTAATTTCACCTGTAATACACAAGGTTTCTAACATTAATAAACCAGACAAGAAACACTGGGGTACTCACTGTTAGCATGTAGACAAGCATACTTCTAGAACCATAACAAAGAGAGCCACTGAAAGCTCTTATAAACTCTCCCCTCAGGTCTGCCTTTCTCACCTTGGTAATGTTGATGGTCGGGAACATGTTCTGAAACATGGAAGCCATGAGCTTCATGTGCAGGCCTTCACCACTGAGACTGTTCAGTACAACGAGTGGTGCATTCTGGTACAGCTTCTCGAACACAAATTGCTTCTTCATAGAGGAAATCACATCTCGTGAAAGGGAGTAATTGTGTATCCAGAAAGTGAGAGTTGGGCCCTGTGGCAGGCGTGCAATCTTCAAGTACATCCCCAGGTCAGTGCTGGTGAAGATGCACAGATGTGACACGTGAAGCAACCCAGCGACTGAGACAAAGTCCTTGATTGCGTTGTTCTTCCGAGACTAAAGAAAGTGGCAGAGGGAAAGAGGCTGTCAGGCTGCTGGCTCATACAAACTGTAAAAGTAACCTACATAGACACTCCTAGTTGCTTAATAGCTTATTTACTGACACCATATTGACTGCAGAGGACAGAGAACAATTATGTACAGTGAACTGGAAATACATGAATAACGTGTTGGTGGAAAAGTTTAAGGCATTATAACATTTTTTTGCCCGAAGAAGCTGAGTACAAAGAGAACAAAAAGGCAATCATGATTTCTGCACCACATAGACTGCCCTGGGACTGGACCGTCTTGGCAAATGGCACAGCTTATTACTGTTACCCAACGAACAGAATCTAAGCAGAATTATGTTTAAATTAATTTCAGACAACCTACTGCATTTCATCTGCTCACTGAGGAAAATGAAAATTGATAGCAGGCTGAAATTTTATCATAAACACGACTTGTGCAAAAAAGTACTTAACCCTTTCCCATCCTTTTTATTTCAAATCTCACCTAGGAGAAAAGTTACCACCCATCAAGTTGGCTCGTACTCTGACTCATATTCAGGAAGCACCCACTTAATCACAGCCAGGACACCATGTATCTTTACTGAGGATTTTCATGGTTTTACTCAGTCCTTCTAGGCTAATGCTAGTATCATGCTTCAATTAGGCCATAATTACTTCCTTCCACATCCATTCCAAACTATTCATTAATCGTTTTATCATTGACACTATGTAATAACATTATTTTGAATTAGAAATAAATAAAATTTTGAAGAGCAGTCTTCTGGGATTTGGCACCATGTATATGTGGTGTTAACCAACATTTCGGAAGAACATATCGCCTCCATCTTCAGGGTAGAAGGAAAAATATAAGAAATCCGCAAGTGAAGAGACCGTGAGAACCGGTAAAAGCAGTTCTCACGGTCTCTTCGCTTGCAGATTTCTTATATTTTTCCTTCTACCCTGAAGATGGAGGCGATATGTTCCTCCGAAACGTTGGTTAACACCACATATACACGGTGCCAAATCTCAGAAGACTGCTTTCTTCATAGTCACCGCCGTGAAAGCCTCAAATCTTACAAATAAAATTTTGTTACATAAACCACAAATATAATATGCCAAACAATGCAACAGTAAGATATAACCCTCAGCAGGCAGTATATTCATATAGCTGATGAAGGAAGTCTTCCAACAAATGTCATCTACAGGAAAATTACAATGACAGAGAATGAAAGGCAAGGAAATTTAATGGCTCCTATGATTACACATAGAAACAAGAATTTCATCCCATATAGAGGTAGTCCACCTACCTTCAGGGATGAGGCTGTGAAAGGTTCCATTACTTTTCTAAAATCTCTTGTAAGCTCAATAACAAAACTGCCAACATTACCACGGTGGATAACAAACGAATGAGGAGCTCGTTTTAGTTCCTCTGGTTCTTCCGTGTTTGCCTGGACATTGTTCTTCACATTGCGCCCCTGGAATAAATCGAACACAAATTGAACACTCAGTGCCTTCTGAATGCACAGACAAGCTCACTGTGGTTACCTTGCTAATTATGTTGTTTTAAGTGAGTCTGAAACTTGAGTTCTCACTCTGGGAGGAAAAAGAAATTGAAGTTGCTTGAAAACAAGGCACTAAGGAAAATCTTAGAACTGATTAGCTAACAGAGGAACGGAGAAAATTACATAATAGAATACTCACAACTAGCATTATTCATCCTGATACTCTTATGATGATTAAATCAAGGATATGGGCAGGGCATGTAGCATACATATGGGAAACAGGATGTACATATAAAACTTAATTTATAAACTGGAGAAAGAAATGACTATCTGGAAGCCTTGAAGATACATGAAAGGAAAATATTAAAATAGGTATTCTTCACACTGAGTTAAACTCTTGCCTCTGTCCTGACAGAATCATGAAGATACAGCATGGATCACCTGTCCATTATTCAAGAACTTTTGTTTTTGAAATTTCTACAATATTTCTCTCATATAAGATAACAATCTATAAGTAACTGTGAGAATTTGAAGTTCTGTCAATTTTTGTAACTTCTTTTATGATAGTAATGCATCCAAAAGTTATCTCAGGATCTAGAGTTTTAATACCCCTCTATTATCAATACCAACATATCAGCTGTACAATCTTCGGGTTTTGCAATAATCAACTTGGCATTCTGTAAATTTGGGAGAATAAAACACTTTCACAACAAAATACAAAAACAGATATATAGAGAGAAGGTAAGCCTCTCCATACTTACTTTTATTTAAAGCAACATTCTATGGTAGCATATAATTTCTGTTGCTGAAAGGCCATGAATAGTTAACTTTAAATAATCTGAGAATGTTAGAAATCTTACTTCACTGACCTTCTGAAATAACAAATAAATCCACTCTATAAGGGCCTGAGCTTTTTAAGTGAGATATTCATGAGCGGCATGGAAAAACATAAATTGGTTCATATTTTAACCGAGATAATTTATACACTATTAGGCAGCCTGATTTGTTGTGGAAACTATGATGCTAAAAACATTGCATACTTATTCCTAATTGTTTGGTTCTGTGTTTAATTTAAAATGACACAGGAGTACAACACATATTTTTACAAACTTACCTTCTTCTTTTTCCCCATCCTTGAAAGCTTAACACAATATCACAACCTGAAATAATAAAATAGTGTGACCTAATGCGATACCGACCTGTAAGTAAGTAAAGCTATCCTGTAATAGGCTGTGAAGGCCCATAGGGTTGTGAGACATTGAGGGTCCCACATTATCTAGACAATCGGCTCAAAGATGGCGGTAAGGTTGTCAGCCTTACGCAGCGGCCACACTTTTTACTCCCCAGGAAAATTCTTTAGTGAATTCCTGGTACTCATCTCTGTTAGAGGATGAGTCAACCCCAGGGCCATAGTGTGGCCAGAAGGATTTAGTCAACTGAAAAAAATCCAATGACATTATTGGGACTTCAACCTGCGATCTTCCGGCTTGTAGCAAAGTGCCTTAACCATCTAAATTACAAAAGGCTGCGCCATAGCTCAAGCAGTTAATTACTGGCTTCCCACCGTGGAGGCCCTGGTTCGATCCCGGATCTGGTCAAGTGGGATTTGTGGTGGACAAAGTGGCGCTGGGGTAGGTTTTCTCCGAGTACTTCGGTTTCCCCAGCCAAGCTTCATTCCACCAAATTCTCCATCATCATAATCAACTGGGGCAGGTACAACAGGCCAATCAGTGGCCGCCAGTGGGCCCAACTGGACTCCACCCCCACTATGCGAAACTAAATTAGAAACTATATTTTTGCAAACAAAATATTAACTGTTCTGCATGTTAAATTTCAATACTTTTATGAGTCATGCAGATGCTGGTCATCATACCAAAGTCTGGTTACCAATTAACAAACTAACATTTTCAGTCACCGTCATTTACCGTACTTGCCAGAGCTCTAATTTTTAAGAATGTAAAGCTGACCTTAAGCTTAATTAAGCAGTATGCCATGAAAATATATGTGGGGGGCGAAATCAGCTCCACCTGTTCTGACCTTGGCATTAGATGGAGAGGAGTGATCAGCTTCACGCCCCGGCCGCTACACCCCCGGGAAGACTGTCCCAAGTACTCTCTGTATGGAAGGCTTAGTGAGTCGCAGAGCCGGTCTGGACCCTATGGAGAAAAGAATAATCTTGCCCCTGCCGGAAATCGAAACCCGGCAGAAATCTATACCGACTGGGCTAACTCGACTCACAAAGCCAAGTTAATTTTCTTTTCTTAATTAATTATGCAACGAAAACTTAATAACGTAACCTCACACGTGGTTCGTTTTGTTCAGTGTGATAATATTTATTTTTATTTCTCTCAGCTATACCTTCTATCGCAAATTTTACAGTCCCATGAAGTAACATACATATGGTCATCAGTATGTTACGTAAACAAAACTGCTGGTGAATTTCATTACTTTGCTAGACAGAAAACACACAAAACAAACGACGCCAATACCACCATCACGACGATCACGACGACCAACCTCTTCAATAATCCACCAAGCCAAATTCATATAATTATGACATTGGTGACCTTGGTGACTGAGACAAGGAAAACGGGAGAAATTTCATGTATTTGTTAAATCTGAAGCACGGACTACTAAACAAAGGGCCTATCTCTCTCACACACACACATAAATGAACATAAATGTCCATGTATTGCAGGTTGCAATACGTGTGGCATGGATCGCTGAAAGTGCGCTTCACTGACAGTTCTCGCTCACCCACGTCCACATGCGACTGCTATCAGTTGATCCGTGAGTTGAGGGTGGGCGCAGTTCATTATTATTTTGTCTTGTTTCCGAAACAGGAGTTTTTAATTATTGAGGTTAGAGAACAATTAGAAATGGAAGAAGGTTTTTTTATAAGAAAATTTGATTTAAGCAGTTGTGGTAAATCTTTAACATTATGCCAAAAAGAAGTAGGAGATGTTAGTTGTGTCGTATGGGATTCAGCATTAGTATTAGCGAAATATCTGGATGCCAAATGCAATAAAATGCAAGACTGGCTTAGAGGTCGATCAGTCGTAGAACTTGGTGCTGGCTTGGGCTGTGTGGGTCTAACAGCAGCATGCTTTGGGTAAGAGAATTGGGTGAGTATAACCATGTGCCTTAGCGTATTTCTATGCAAGTTGTGAGTGCCATGTCACGTTCCCTCGAGTTCTGTACCGAGTGAAATTTTATTTTCTTAACAGTGCATGTGTAACGATGACAGACCTTTTTGAGGCTATGCCACTCCTTCAGAAAAACATTGATGCAAATCAAGTTGTATGGGAATCTTGTGGGGGCAAAGCTTGCACCCAGGTTCTACAGTGGGGCTCAGATATTCAGGATTGGAAGACACCAGATGTACTACTCCTGGCCGATTGTGTATACTACATGGAGGTATATATTCATACCGTTAAAAGATGTATTAAACAGATATCTGTACAATACCAAATTCTGCATTGTAGTCAATAAAGTAGTGCTTCTCTGGTGGATTAAGATTTGGTGTTTATCTGGATGGTACTGTAGTGGAATTCCAGTGTTTCTGTATTGAAGGCAGGGCATTTATTGCATGCTATGTTTTGAGGTCATATAGATATTTCTGTCCATTTTCTGACTGTATTTCACAGCCCTTTATCTGAAGTGAACACTGGAAACTGTAAATCAATCTAGGGCACATTTATTCAAGCATGTATGTTGTATTATTTCTCATATTTTTCATGTTCTTAAGCACAGAAATTTGGAATTTGTTCTTCACTTTCAGTCTGTGGAGCCATTAGTGAAGACTCTTTGTTGTCTGACAGATGTCAGCACTGAAGTGTTTATTAGCCAGGAGGAGCGAGACACAGAGAAGCAACGTATCATATGGAAGGTTTTTCAAGAGAAATTAGAGAGCCATTTTGAAGTGACAAAGATCCCAGAACAGGAGCAGCACCCAGACTTCTGTAGCCCAGATATTGTTGTTCTCAGAGCAATGAAGAGATCTCTAGCAAACTGAGGTCTATATCATGTACTGGTGTCATGCAGTAATTGTATGATCAATAGAAGCAAATAAATATCGTATTTAATCCTTCCTTTCATTGACTTGACTCAAAGCAAATTAGATCAGATGAGAAAGGGACAAGAAGATATCACCTCTCTTTTCAGGGTTGAAAAGTAAACCAAGAAAGAAATGAGCAGATTGCATCTACTACTTCTGGTTTTCTGTGCAGTTTACTCCTCAGATAGAGGAAGTGTGTTCCTCCAAAATGACAGCCTTGTTCTCAACCATATGGAGTTGCAACATAGAAGAATGTATTCATCATAGTAAAAGTAAAGCTATCCCTGTACCAGGCCGTGAAGGCCCATAGGGTTGTGAGACGTTGAGGGTCAGACAATATCTAGATAATTGGCTCAAAGATGGCGGTAAGGTTGTCAGCCCTACGTGCCGGCCGTGCTTTACTTCCCAGGAAAATTATTTAATTAATTCCTGGTACTCATTTCTGTTAGAGGCTGAGTCAACCCCAGGGCCATAGTGCATCTGGAAGGATTAGGTCAACTGAAAAAAATCCAATTACCTCATCGGGACTTGAACCTGCGACCTACCGGCTTGTAGCATAGCCCCTCAACCAACTACGTTACCGCACGCCCCACTCGTCATAGTCACAACTGTGAAAACCTCAGATCTGGCAAGGAGACTGATATTTAATATTCGAAGTTTTTACAGTTGTGGAGATCCATATTGTAGTCTGGGTTATAACACTACATAGCATGGTTCAACCCTAAAGATACAGGTAGTGTTACCTTAAAGGTAATGATGCCAACTTACCAGTCCATAATTCAGTACTCATCAGACTTATGTCATAATAGAGACATCAGTGATCTTCAGCAGATTCAGAAAGTTTAGAATAAGGAATGAGATATATCTCGTGCTTCTTTTCCACATTATATAATTTACTTATAAGAATACTTCCTTGTTTTCCTTCCTTCTCTTAAATTATTATAGCCACACCGTTTCAAGCAGTGAGAGATAACTGTAACTATTTTATTCATACAGGAATTTGTAAAAGCTGAATTTTACCAGAGAAGCACTGCCAGATAAGTTGGTACCAATCATCTACATCAAAAACCCAAGTCAGATGATCGGCTAGCTCAGAGCATACACAAGAATCCTTCTGCTGATTATGATCATCCATGTTTAAAAGGTTCACAATGTGGAACATTAAATTTGTACCATTCACTGTTACAACTTTTTTCAGGCTACTGTAAATATAGTATGCATTTTATAAAATATATAAGACTCTTGAAACCTTCCATACCAACTTATGTAATGAAATTAAATATTAAAACATGTGTAAAATTAAAATTAAATTCACTTAGTGGGGGGTGGAGCCCAATTGGGTCCACTCGGCACAGCGGCCACCAATTGGCCTATTGTAGCCCGCCCTGGGTGATTATGATGATGGAGAATTTGGTGGAATGGAGATTGGCAGGGGAAACCGAAGTACTCTGAGAAAACCCACCCCAGCACCACTTTGTCCACCACAAATCCCACTTTACCAGACCCGGGATTGAACTGGGGCCACCGCGGTGGGAAGCCAACAACTAACCACTTGAGCTATGGCGCGGCCTAAAACATGTGTAGCTATAAATCATACAACCCATGGACAAAACTTATGATAGAAATGGTGACACGTACAGCAAATTTAAATCCAGACTGCAGGACATGTAACAGCAGAGTTTTTATATGCAACATTTTGAGGAACTGAATAAACTATGTTTGGTGACAAATAACTGCTGGAAACACAACAAATATAAATAATTTGTTTTATAAAGAAAAAATATGGTAGATTTTTAAAGCAGTTTGTATTTTCACAGAAAAGTAATTTTAACAGTTGTCACTTACTGATTATTGTTATAAATGAAACTGCACAGTATACCAGTTGGGCTTGTTTCAGTTAGCTTTTCCCAAGACCACTGTGGGTTGCGGTGCATGGTCTGGGAGGGCCCTTCCCTTGCGCATTCATTCATTCATAGCTTTTCCCATCATACACAGTGCTCTCCCACCACAAATCCCTTGTAATGAGGTTCTCTGAGGAAGCATTTCCAGTCTGAACTTCATTGGTAACTCCTACAGCCAGAACTGCAACACCATAACCACTGTACCACTGAATGAAAAAGGATTTTCTGCTTAAGAAGTAGAATGTACTGAGTCTGCTGTTTATATTCCCCACAGAACGGACAAATACATTGTAAGATGAGGCACCAGCTAAACAATTAACATCCATACTATACTACATCCATACCATGGGCCTCAAAAGCAGTTTATTACATGTACACAAAATCTAGAATATACCATTATGTCCGCGGGAATATAACAAAATTGCAACAACTAACTTAATGTTGTAAAACATCACATGAAGAGTCTTAACTTTGTTTTACCCTATAACTTTCATTTTTATATAGTCTAGTTCATTGTACTTTTATGCCAAGCATTTTATAATGTAATAATTATCAAGTATCCGGCTTCACTATCGCAATTGCAGTTTCGTAGTGTGTGAATATGTTAATCATGTATTTGCCTGATGATAGCTTTAATAGCCGAAACATGTAGCTGAGCCAATCTTGGCCTTGACCTTGATATTGTTGTGTTACGACTCCAATAAAGAAACTGTATACTATAACACAACAGGATGCAGCAAATAAAAATTAGAAGTGAATTAATTGTTGCAGTTTATAGGTACAAGTGTGTATCAACAGCAGTGTGTCACACCACAAGGCACTTCACAGACGCACTGCATGAGTCATGTCAGACATGTACGCAAGTTTCCATGCTTGTTCATCAGGCACCTATTTTAACAAATACTTTAGGTCTGGAAAACACTTTTATGCCTTCCTCAATCTTGTTCAGTTTCTGCTCCAGTTCAATCTTTCTGTTGCGCATCTTCAGCGTGTCTGTCCTGACAGGCATCATGTTCAGCTTCTGAATCAAGTCTCCATAATCTGAAATGAGTCAAATGTCATAAACTGTGCAGTTCCTGTGTTTAAAAAATAAGCACAGTTGTCCTTATTTTTAATTCATTAAGCAACGTGCCATGAAGATGTATGGGGGAATGTAGGTATGTCCATATATTCTTAACATTTTCACTAGACAGACTGATGGCTACTTTATCCCCAGTCAGAGAAACCCCCTGGTACTAGCTGGACAGAATGTTTTGTGGGCCCCAGAGCCAGTCTAGGAACTGTGGAGAAGATAGAAATCTACTGTCCTACTGGGAATATAACCCCAATACAATTTTAGACTGTTGATGCAGTTGTTTTCTCAAATTCATATTTTTAAGCTAGGATTTTCTAGTCCCAGAAAAGAATTGTTCGTCACTCTTCGAACTCGGCTCCCTGAAATCCAACCTCCCCTTCCCCCTCCCCCCCTTTTAGGGGGGGGGGTTGTGCTGTTTTTTAGATGCTTTTAAAGGTTGAATGAGTTTACACTAAGAAGCTTAACCACAGTTTATGTAAGAACAGGTTCCAAAATTCCTGCAAGTTCTAATTTATGCGTCCTTACTTTGTTCGAGCATTCTGAGAGTTTCCTTCCTGTCTGAGTCTTGGAGGGTTACATGTCCTGGCGGACAAGCTGGATCAGGAACATCTCGCTCTTGCTTCTCTGCCTCCTTTTGCAAGGCCTCACGGCGTTCTTGTAGATACCTGCAAAAGTCAGCAGCTGCTTCATATTTCATCTCACAATCAACACCCATGGATGAAAAGTATTATGTTTGAGGACCTGGTTATATTCTCTACAGTGGACAATTTAGAAGGTAAAGCACGTGATGATGCATTCAAACTGAAACCTGCGCCTCTTTTCCAGGATTTTATAATTGTAAAACTATCAGCACATAAGGAAACAAGAAAATGATTTTCCACATAAATGTAGATGTATTTATATTACTGATTTCAGGTTTTCATGCTGATTCAAAGCTGATTTTGATTCAGCTCTTGGGTGTGGGCAGTGTTTCTGATGTTTCAGAGGTATATGCCGCACCCACCTTCAGGATCAAAGTGGGTAGGGTGCTCTAGTGTCCATACGCACACAGGTTTTTGTTCTGAAAGACCGTTTCTTCCAAGGCTTCTTTTGAACCAAAAATCCATATATACACAGAAACTCAACTACTGTAACTAATTCAACCCTACAGACGGAGGCAGCATATATCTGAAATGCTGGCAACACTGCCCACATCCACACTGTGTAGAGCTGAATCAATATCAGTAGCCATAATGAATCATACAAATTTCATTTTGCAAACTATAATGAGTTAATAAACCTAATAATCTGCACAGTTGTAAGATTCTTATTTCATATTCTCCCGAAGATCTGATACAATGAGCCGAGTGGCATGCTTTTTGGATCTCTATCACCATAAGAAGTCTCACTGAACAGCAACTCAAAAGTTTGCACAGCCTCTATGCTGGCGTTGTTGATGTCTAGGATTCATACAGAATGAAGAGGATAGGCAAATACAGCGTGGTAATGGCTCGCAGACTTCACAGAACCTGTACTTTGATGTAAACATGCTTACTTTGGGATGACCCCTTTCTGGTAGGTGGAAGGGGGTTTCAAAGGATCACTTGCCGCTTCAACAGTCCTCTGTCTTGCCTTCACAGACATGACATTCATTTTTATGTAATCAGTTCCAGGTCCCTGAAATATATAAAAAAAAAATTGTACACCAATCACAAACTGATTTACAACCACATATTTTCACTGGCAATATGGAAACATATTTACCACTTCTTGATGCTCGTGCACATCCTGTTTGTGCTCATACAGTGATAATTTCTGAATGTCAGGATCGTCACTCCCATCAGGTATCAGCCTGTCGCCAGTTGTATTGTGTATCCTGTTGTCACGACTTTGTGCCCTGTCTGTCTGCTGCTCCATTTCAAATGTGGGAAGCTTCTTTTCTGAATGCCTTAACTTAGTTCCAGGAATCTTTCTGGTTGATGGATACTTGATCACCCCCACATTGTACAGTTCTTCAAAGTTCTTTGGATCAACAGTCTGACACCCCACACTTCTGCTGCCAGTGAATTCAATGGGCTCACTTGCAATGTCCACTGATGAAATATCAGACATGTCTAAGGATAATTCTGTGCAGGAAGCAACTTCTTTTGTAACCTTGCGTGACAGATCAGTACTCTGTCGATGAACAGACTCTGCCACATGATCACTCAGAATTTCAGCACTATTTGTGTACCTTCCGGGCCCATTTCTCTTTGGTATAGAGTCTTTTGCTCTTGCATGTTCCTTGTGTGTTATACCAACCCGTGGCAGAACTGAACCTGAACGAATACCTCCCAATGTTTTACATGGCAGTTCTGATACTCCTGAAATTCTCATGGAGGCTTCTGTGGTGCTCTGCTTCTTCTTCTTCTTTGACTGGGAACCCTGTAAATTAAAATCACTTAAATTTAGTCTGGAACATCTACTGCACTTTTATTATGTATTGTGACAACCTTTATGAAGTGAGTACTTGATGTAATGAATCTTAGTGAAGGAATTATGTTAAATCCATTTTATTGACAGGATTGCAAACTACATTAGTAGTCCTGATATTATGTTACTTACGTTAATATACGAAGGTACTTTTGCTGGCATATTTTCAAATTTATTTGTTCTAGGCCTTCCAGAGACTGTGTTCATTTCTTCTTTGTTACACACATAACTTTGCGCTTCTCGCAAGTGTCTCACATTCTCCAAAATGAAATTTCTCCTGCTTTTAGGCTCTGAAATTTAATACAGAGAATGACCCAGAAATAAGAGCAGAAAACTGGGCGGTGTATATTACAGGCCAAAACAATTAAAAGTTTATATAAAAATAACTCTAGAAATCTTTCAGTAATGAACTAGAGTCCTTGAGAAATGTTCCAGAAACAGCATGATTAGAAATGTGGTTACACCTTAGGTTAAACGCTTGTCAAACATCATCAATAGCAGTACCAAGAGTTCTGATCAAGAAATAGCGCAATAATTGATTAAAAATGTAGTTTTGCACTCCAGTCACATGTGTCAGTCTTGGGAGTGTTGCAGATGAAGGTATATCCATTTTGAACGGCCTGCATTTCCTCTGCAGTATCCACCACTGAAGCAGGCATCGAATTCTTTATATAAAAGACAAGTAGTCATTCACATCGCCCTATACAAACTTCAGTTTGTGAAAACAACACAGCAAGCCACGAACAAACCCTGGACGACATCAAGAACATCCTCATCAAGAGAGACAGGCGGCACAAAATCTGCCCCATACAAGAAGGGCGATAGGAGTACGGACATGAACCTACGTGGTTTAAAAAAAATTTAACTATTGACAATAAAGGTTTTTTAAAATAACATCTAGAAACTTTTAAAAACTTTACAACACCAGGAACGATAGGAGTACGGACATGAACCTACGTGGTTTAAAAATTTTAACTATTGACAATAAAGGTTTTTTAAAATAACATCTAGAAACTTTTAAAAACTTTACAACACCAGGAAGCTGCTGTGAATGTGAAACGTTCAACTTTAAGTGTACTGTGCATTATAGGATATAAGTGTATGTATT